AAGGAACACAGACAATATACAGTAACAGTCACCGTACAGGCAATACAATGGCACTAAATTCATACCTTTCAATAGTTACCCTGAATGTAAATGGGCTCAATGCCCCAATCAAAAGACACAGGCTATCAGATTGGATTAAAAAACAAGACCCATCCATATGCTGTCTGCAAGAGACTCATTTTAGACCCAAAGACACCCCCAGATTGAAAGTGAGGGGATGGAAAACCATGTACCATGCTAATGGACACCAAAAGAAAGCTGGGGTGGCAATCCTTGTATCAGACAAATTAGATTTCAAAACAAAGACTGTAATAAGAGATGAAGAAGGACACTATATCCTACTTAAAGGGTCTCTCCAACAAGAAGATCTAACAATTGTAAATATCTATGCCCCCAGCATGGGAGCAGCCAATTATATAAGGCAATTAATAACAAAAGCGAAGAAACACATTGACAACAATACAATAATAGTGGGGGACTTTAACACCCCCCTCACTGAAATGGACAGATCATCTAAGCAAAAGATCAACAAGGAAATAAAGACTTGAAATGAAACACTGGACCAAATGGACTTTACAGACATATTCAGAACATTCCATCCCAAAGCAACGGAATACACCTTCTTCTCTAGTGCCCATGGAACATTCTCCAGAATTGATCACGTCCTAGGTCACAAATCAGGTCTCAACAGGTACCAAATGATTGGGATTATTCCCTGCATATTTTCAGACCACAATGCTTTGAAACTAGAACTCAATCACAAGAGGAAAGTCGGAAAGAACTCAAATACATGGAGGCTAAAGAGCATCCTACTAAAGAATGAATGGGTCAACCAGGAAATTAAAGAAGAATTTAAAAAATTCATGGAAACCAATGAAAATGAAAACACAACTGTTCAAAATCTTTGGGATGGAGCAAAGGCAGTCCTGAGAGGAAAGTATATAGCAATACAAGCCTTTCTCAAGAAACAAGAAAGGTCTCAAATACACAACCTAACCCTACACCTTAAGAAACTAGAGAAAGAACAGCAAATAAAGCCTAAACCCAGCAGAAGAAGAGAAATCATAAAGATCAGAGCAGAAATCAATGCAATAGAAACCAAAAGAACAGGAGAACAGATCAATGAAACGAGGAGCTGGTTCTTTGAAAGAATTAACAAGATTGATAAACCCCTGGCCCAACTCATCAAAAAGAAAAGAGAAATAACCCAAATCAACAAAATCATGAATGAAAGAGGAGAGATCACAACCAACACCAAAGAAATACAAACAATTATAGGAACATATTATGAGCAACTCTATGCCAGCAAATTAGATAACCTGGAAGAAATGGGTGCATTCCTAGAGATGTATCAACTACCAAAATTGAACCGGGAAGAAATAGAAAACCTGAACAGACCTCTAACCACTAAGGAAATTGAAGCAGTCATCAAAAATCTCCCAACAAACAAAATCCCAGGGCCAGATGGCTTCCCAGGGGAATTCTATCAGACATTTAAAGAAGAATTAATACCTATTCTCCTGAAACTGTTCCAAAAAATAGAAATGGAAAGAAAACTTCCAAACTCATTTTATGAGGCCAGCATTACCTTGATCCCAAAACCAGACAAAGACCCCATCAAAAAGGAGAATTACAGACCAATATCCTTGGTGAACATGGATGCAAAAATTCTCTATTCTATTCAACATAGTATTAGAAGTCCTAGCCACAGCAATCAGACAACAAAAAGAAATCAAAGGCATCCAAATCGGCAAAGAGGAAGTCAAACTCTCACTCTTTGCAGATGATATGATACTGTATGTGGAAAACCCAAAAGACTCCACCCCAAAACTGCTAGAACTCATACAGGAATTCAGTAAAGTAGCAGGATATAAAATCAATGCACAGAAATCAGTGGCATTCCTATACACCAACAACAAGACAAAGAGAGACAAATCAAGGAGTCGATCCCATTTACAATTGCACCCAAAACCATAAGATACCTAGGAATAAATTTAACCAAAGAGGCAAAGGATCTGTACTCAGAAAACTAGAAAATACTCATAAAGAAATTGAAGAAGACACAAAGAAATGGAAAAACGTTCCATGCTCATGGACTGGAAGAACAAACATTGTGAAGATGTCAATGCTACCTAGAACAATCTACACATTCAATGCAATCCCCATCAAAATACCATCCACCTTTTTCAAAGAAATGGAACAAATAATTCTAAAATTTGTATGGAACCAGAAGAGACCCAGAATAGCCAGAGGAATGTTGAAAAAGAAAAGCAAAGCTGGCAGCATCACAATTCTGGACTTCCAGCTCTATTACAAAGCTGTCATCATCAAGACAGTATGGTACTGGCACAAAAACAGACACATAGATCAATGGAACAGAATCGAGAGCCCAGAAATGGACCCTCAACTCTATGGTCAACTCATCTTTGACAAAGCAGGAAAGAATGTCCAATGGAAAAAAGACAGTCTCTTCAACAAATGGTGTTGGGAAAATTGGACAGCCACATGCAGAAGAATGAAACTGGACCATTTCCTTACACCACACACAAAAATAGACTCCAAATGGTTGAAAGACCTAAACATGAGACAGGAGTCCATCAAAATCCTCAAGGAGAACACAGGCAGCAACCTCTTCCACCTCAGCCGCAGCAACTTCTTCCTAGAAACATCCCCAAAGGCAAGGGAAGCCAGGGCAAAAATGAACTATTGGGATTTCATCAAGATAAAAAGCTTTTGCACAGCAAAAGAAACAGTCCACAAAACCAAAAGACAACCGACAGAATGGGAGAAGATATTTGCAAATGACATATCAGATAAAGGGCTAGTATCCAAAATCTATAAAGAACTTATCAAACTCAACACCCAAAGAACAAATAATCCAATCAAGAAATGGGCAGAAGACAGGAACATTTTTCCAAAGAAGACATCCAAATGGCCAACAGACACATGAAAAAGTGCTCCACATCGCTCAGCATCAGGGAAATTCAAATCAAAACCTCAATGAGATACCACCTCACACCCGTCAGAATGGCTAAAATGAACAAGTCAGGAAACGACAGATGTCGGCGGGGATGTGGAGAAAGGGGAACCCTCCTACACTGTTGGTGGGAATGCAAGCTGGTGCAACCACTCTGGAAAGCAGTATGGAGGTTCCTCAAACAGTTGAAAATAGAGCTACCATATGATCCAGCAATTGCACTACTGGGTATTTACCACAAAGATACAAATGTAGGGATCCGAAGGGGTACGTGTACCCCAATGTTTATAGCAGCAATGTCCACAATAGCCAAACTGTGGAAAGAGCCAAGATGTCCATCGACAGATGAACGGATAAAGAAGAGGTGGTATATATACACAATGGAATATTATGCAGCCATCAAAAGGAACAAGATCTTGCCATTTGCAACGACGTGGATGGAACTGGAGGGTGTTATGCTGAGTGAAATAAGTCAATCAGAGAAAGACGTGTATCATATGACCTCACTGATAGGAGGAATTCTTAATCTCAGGAAACAATATGAGGGTTGCTGGAGTGGTGGGGGGTTCGGGAGGGATGGGGTGGCTGGGTGACAGACATTGGGGAGGGTATGTGCTATGGTGAGCGCTGTGAATTGTGTAAGACTGTTGAATCACAGATCTGTACCTCTGAAACAAATAATGCAACATATGTTAAGAAAAAAGGAAAAGAAGATAGCAGGAGGGGAAGAATGAAGGGGAGTAAGTCGGAGGGGGAGACGAACCATGAGAGACGATGGACTCTGAAAAACAAACTGAGGGTTCTAGAGGGGAGGGGGTGGGGGGACGGGTTAGCCTGGTGATGGGTATTAAAGAGGGCACGTTCTGCATGGAGCACTGGGTGTGATGCACAAACAATGAAACATGGAACACATCAAAAACTAATGATGTAATGTATGGTGATTAACATAACAATAAAAAATTATTAAAAAAAAAGAAAATGTTATGAAAAATGTCCTAAGGAAGAAAAAATACGTTTAGAACACTGTGCTGTATTTATTAAAAAAAAAAAAAATCCACATATAAGTGGACCCACACAGTTCAAACCTATGTTGTTCAAGGGTCAAATAAATATAAATTTATATATGTGAATGTACATGCAGAGAAAAGGTCTGGACAGATATTCACCAACCTGTTATCTTCCCAGGAGTTACCCCTGAGATGCAAGACTTTCATTTTCAGCTTTATATAAAACTGCATCAAATTTTGGTGCATTTTTTAATGATTAACCATTATTTCTATTTTAATCTAAAAAAATTACCAACAAAACCCCTCATGATCCAGTCCCTACCTATCTCTTTAGCCACTGCCTTGTGCACATGGGCTTCTAGCTCAGTCTTCCCTCTCCCATTGCTCCACATATTGAACTCCAATTCAAATGCTATCCCAGTACTATCGCCTCTGACACTGCAGATCAGGGTCTTTCAGGCCCATGCAAAACCCACGGACCAGATTGCAGAGGGTCCATGAAGCTACAAAGGTTTTATGCAAAATCTGCGAGTGTGAGTGTATATGATTTTTTTACTTGGGAGAGTATACATAAATTTAATTAGTTATATTCAACTAATGAATCATTAAACATTATATCAAAAACTCATGATGTACTATACGTTGGCTAGTTGAATTTAAATTAAATAAATAAGTAAATAAAGTAATACTATTAAAAAAAAAATTTGAGTCTCAAAGAAAATATGACCCATAAAAGGATGGAGGACAAAGCTCCAGATGGTGCTATCACTCCATTCTCTGTTGTACATCTACACTCTGTACATATTTCTATTATTACAATACATACAGAGTTTTGTTAAGTATTTACGTGTTGGTCTCTTTTCCTAGGCAATGGGTTTCTTTTACCATATGCTCCCCACCCCTGTAGACATCAAAATAGTTATTTCCACATTTTCACATCTACTTGATGTCAATACTAATGCCTCGTACGAAGGCAAAAAAAAAAAAAAAGAAAAAAGAAAAAAAGAAGTACATACCTCTGTTGGATGCAAGAATAACTCTCATCCAGTAGAAAGGATCTGCAGAATCTGATGACATGATTCCAAATAGTGGTATCTATAGTATTACATAAAACAGTTTCTAAAAGTGCATTATGTAAATTAAGTTGGAACTTAATTCATACTTCTTTTACTTAATATTTGCAATACTTAAAAAAAAAATACTACTTCTCATGTTCTGTAACAAAACAAGCATACCCTAAAGGAAGTTTTTTAACAAAAATAAAAACAATAGAAATTACTACTTACACAAATCTACTAGTACACATACCTATCAGGATGAAGATTTGTTGCACAACAACGTGAATACACTTAACACTACTGAACTGTACGCTTAAAAATGACTAAGATGTAAATTTTAGTTTTTTTTTTTTTACAATTAAAAAAACCCTCCATCAGTAAATTACAGGATATATCCATCCAGTCACAGAATAATTTTGCTAAGCTCTGGGTACTAATGACAGCCACAGTCACACTCTAAATATAAGACTGAAGATTACATATATACACACACATATATATGTGTATATATATAGTGGAATATTATGCAACCATTGAAAAGAAGCTTTTAATGGCAAAAAGAAGTGCTTATGTTGTAATACCAAGTATGACACTGTGGTTCTCAATCTGGGGCAATTCTGCCCCCCAGGGGACATCTGGCAATATCCAAAGACATTCTGGTTGTCACAACTTGAAGGGAAATGCTACAGGCATCTAGTGGGTAGAGGTCAGGGATGCTGAACATCCTACAATGACCCCACAACAAAGAATTAACTGGCCTAAAATTCAGTGCCATTGTTGAGAAACCCTGCTATAAAAAGAAAGGTACAGAATTATATAAATGAAAGTTCAATACTGTAAAAATGTGTAAAAGATAAAAGTGTAAATACTTAAAGTCCTGAAGAGTAATTATCTGTAGGTAGTGGGATTATGCCTGACTTTTTCTTCATTCTTCTTAGCATTTATCAAATTTTCTATTATAAGCGCATATTACTTTTTCATCAGAAAAAAAAAAAGAAACTCTTCACTTCAGAATGTTTCCTATTATATGACCAACGTTGAGGACATAGCACCTGGTCATAACCCTTCCCTCACCATGTGAGGATCAGACACAAAGAAAAATACATTTCCAATTTCAAAAACCTTCTTTATACAAAGCTGATTTTTTTTAAAGTTCCAAAAGATGCTGCCAACGATTCTGAACAATCCGTCTGGTCAACCTCACCCTTTCTGGACATCTGGATTTGTTAGCTGGGTAGCAAAACTGGTGAAGCAAGAAGCATGGATATTTTATGTACCCTAACGCTGCAGACACTCTTCAGCTAATGTGAGAGACAGGGAGGAAGGAAGTTACTGTATAAAAACCAATTAACACTACAGGACAGTCCACATCACAATATTCCCTAAGTGGGAGAGAGGTCAGTCAAATTACTCTGCTTAACTGCACCTGATAGAGATGGCCATCACCTCCACAATTAGATGATTTGTGGGACAATGAACAAGAAAAAGTCAGCCAACTTCCTCTAAGTAATGGCATTCCCTCCTTTCCTGAAGACAACAGGATTATTAAACTCAGTGTCTGATTTTATTCCTCTCAGTAAAATCCATAGCTATGGGTTTATGTACAACAATAGTTGAGAAGCAACTCCCCAAAGCCTAAGAAAACACACTTTTTTTTTTTTTTTAAGATTTTATTTGACAGAGAGACACAGCGAGAGAGGGAACACAAGCAGGGGGAGCGGGAGAGGGAGAAGCAGGCTTCCCGCGGAGCAGGGAGCCCGATGCAGGGCTCGATCCCAGCACCCTGGGATCATGACCTGAGCCGAAGGCAGACAACAACTGAGCCACCCAGGCGCCCCAAGAAAACACAAAACATGTACAGTAGTAGAAGCTACCAAGAGTGAAAAAACCTAAGGAAAAAATGGGTGCTGCGTAGCTCAGCTGGCTTAGCATCCAACTCGATCTCAGCTCAGATCTTGAGATCAACTCAGGCTACTGAAATCAAGCCCCACATTGGGTTCCATGCTGGATATGGAGCCTACAGGGAAAAAAAAAAAAAAAACTAAGGAAAAAGAAAAAAATCCATAAAGCAGCCAAAGAAGAAAAGGGATCATGAACTTGAAGCACTGGTGGTCATGGGGGCGAGAAAACTTCAGACAACTGAGAAGTAGAGAGCCCAGCATGAAGCTGCTCCAGAAGTCAGGATGGGAAGGCAACACAATCCTCACAATCCCCACAACATTCCAAATCTGGAGAAGAGCAGGCTTCACAGATAGCCTTATCCTTTTGCCTCCTTTGGTTAGAAGGGACTAGAAACAGCAGCTGGGAAGAAACGGATGAGAGAAGTGAGCAATGGGGCTCTCTCCTGGTGACAACTACAGGGCCACCGTGAGTTGGGAATGCAGGATGATCTGAGGTCAGCCTTCTTCAGTCACCTGGTGAGAACCACCTTGGAAGAAGAGACAGCTGACCCAGGTAACAATCACTGTACTTATCACACCTTATCTCACCTCCCACCACTCCCTCAAGCTAAAGAAAACTGGGTGAGGGGCGCCTGGGTGGCTCAGTCATTAAGCATCTGCCTTCGGCTCAGGTCATGGTCCCAGATCCTGGGATCAAGCCCCACATGGGGCTCCCTGCTCCAAGGGAAGCCTGCTTCTCCCTCTCCCACTCCCCCTGCTTGTGTTCCCTCTCTCGCTGTCTGTCTCTCTCTCTCTGTCAAAGAAATAAGTAAGATCTTTTAAAAAAAATAAAGAAAGAAAGAAAACTGGGTGAAACAGGAGACCCCAAGCCCTTTTAACTGAGGCTGGGAGGGGAAAATAAACCTGTCTGAGATTCAGTGGAAAGAGAATCAAGAAATCACTAGCACTGGGCAGAACTGCCTAAACATGAGAAAGACATGAAAAACAGGATAGCAACTATGCAATTATACTGCAGAAAAAAATAATAAAGTAACATAAAATGCACAAATTAATTCATTGCATGAAACAGTTGTGAGAAATACCACACTTTTTGAGTGACACAGTTCCTATGGTTCTTGGGTTCTAGCAGCCAAGCTTAAAATACTTACTACCTAGCCCTTCACAGAACAATGTTTGCTGACCCTTAGATTAGAAGATTCAATATTGTCAAGAAGTAATTTTCTCTAAATTTATCTATAAATTCAAAGCAATACAAATCATAATCCCAGCAAGCTTTCTTATAGAAACTGACAAGCTGATTCGAAAATCTATACAGAAATATGAAGAAACTAGAATAACCAAAAACCACTTTGAAAAGGAAAAACAAAGTTGAAAGACTTTTACAACCTGATTACAGGACTTAATATAAAGCTACGGTAATCAAACAGTGTGACCACAACGATGGAATATACATGAATGGAACAGAGTACAAAAATATATGCACACTTACGCAGTTAAGTGATTTTCAACAAAGATGCCAAGATAATTCAATGGGGAAAGAATAGCCTTTTCTGGCTATCTAAACAGAAAAAAATGAATCCCAACCTTACTTACACCATACACAAAAATTAACTTGGACTAGATCACAGTCCAAAACATACAAGCTAAGACTATAAAATATTTAGAAGAATACAGGAGAAAATCTTCACAACCTTAGAAGATAGGAAACAAAAACCACGAACCATCAAAGAAAAAAGACACATTGAACTTCAAAAGGAAGGATTTTTGCTCTTCACAAGATAATAAGAAAATGAAAAGGCAAGCCATAGACTAGGAAAACATAGTCACAGTACATTTACCTGACAAAGGACCTGTATCCAAAAAATATTTTAAAAATGCATATAATTCAGGGCACCTGCGTGGCTCAGTCAATTAAGCGTCTGCCTTCGGCTCAGGTCATGATCTCAGGGTCCTGGGATCGAGCCCCACATCGGGCTCTCTGCTCAGCGGGGAGTCTGCTTCTCCTTCTCCCTCTGTTCCTCCCCCTGCTTGTGCTCACTCTCTCTCTCTCTCAAATAAATTTTAAAAAAATCTTTAAAAAATGCATAATAATTCAATGAGACAATAATTTTTTTAATGGGCAAAATATTTGAAAAAGAAACTTCACAGAAGATAAACAAATGCCCTATAAGTACATGAACCAAGGGCTCAATATCGTTTACCAGGGAAATGTAAATTAAATTTAAAACCACACCCAGTAGAATGACTAATACTAAAATGCTCAACAATACCAAGGGCAGGCAAGGATGGGAAGTAAGTGGAACTCCTATACATGACTGGTAAAAATATAAAATGGGACAACCAGTTTGACAATTCCTTATAAAGCTGAACCTGTAATTACCATACAACCCAGCAATTCTACACTCCTAGGTATTCACCAAGAGAAATGAAAACAAATATTCACAGAAAGTCTTGCCCAGGAATGTTCACAGCAACTTTATTATAGCCAAAATTTGGAAACAACCCAGATGTCCAACCACAAGTGAACAGATGAACAAATGGTGTAGAGTCATCCAGTAGAACACTCCTCAGAAATAAGAAGGAATGAATTACTGCTCTACCAATCACATGGACAAATCTCAAAATGCTCATAAAGCCAGATGCTAAGGAATGATACTGTATGATTCCAATTAGATGAAATTCTAAAAAAAAAAAAAAAAAAAAAAAAAAATCAAATTATAGGAACAGAAAGCAGATCAGTGCTTGCCTGCCACTGGGGGTGAGGTGGAGACTGACTAAGATTACACAGAACTTTCTGGAGTGACAGAATGTTCTGTATCCACTGAGGTAGTAGGTATGTGGGTGTATGCATTTGTCAAAACGCTTCAAAATGTACACTTAAAAAAAATAAGTGTATTTTACCATACATAAATTATACCTTTATAAACCTGATTTTTTTTATGGAGGGGAGGGGAATTTCTAAGATGTTAAAAATAGGTGGTAAAAATATGGATGACTATTCTTTTTTTCTCTCTACTTTTCTGTATTTAAAAAAAGTTCTCTCCCCAATCGCCCAAAACAATTTTAAACTAAGTACAGTTTCCTTAATGACCAAATGACCAAATCACTTTACTCTTCAAAAAAAATACATTTGGCTTTTCCCCAGACTATGGACTTAATCTGCTCTACCGCTTCCTAATATAATTTGTTTTATACTTCCTTATATGTATTTCAATAGCTCTTCAAAATCCTCAAAAAACTTGCAACTAAATCATCTAGTTTAATCCTCACAACAATCCTGTGACAGGGACAGGACACACTTTATCCTCATTTTGTGAACTTAATCTCTGCAAAGTATTAATAAAAAGCATCACTGAGTTCTATCAATTTATAAATACAGTATATCACTGGGGTTCTAGAATTTGACTTTTCGGGATTTTTGAACTAATACATGCTATTTACAACATGATTAAAGGCCAACAAAATAGGGAAAAAATATTTGCAATGTATTATGTCAAAGCTTTAACGCTTTCATATATAAAAATCTGCCTTAATATGAAAAAAAATCTCAAGAAAAAAACAGGTAAAGATCATTAACTGCACACTAAGAGAAAAAAAAAATGTTCAAACCCACTAATAAAAAAAAATACACAGTAGAACAAGATAACCATTTTCACCATCAACTCAGATTAAAAATAACAATGCTCAAAATAATTCAGGATATTTATTATTTTAACTAAAATAAATTTCTCAAATTGTAACCAAACAAAACCCTCCAACAACAGCATAGACATTTAATTAATATTTTGGTTACATACCTGACAACATACTAAGAAAATGAAGAGAGTTATGGCAGTCCATAGTACCTTCTCTCTAAACTGGATCTACAACAAAATAAGGATGATCAATCAAAACCAAGAAATAGCAAATACAAAGCAAAATTCCACATTAAAGCATAACATTCTGCATCATGACAGGCTCCTATATATTTACTATTAAGATACTCTCATCTAGTTATTACCAGCTAAAGCAAACAGCTCAACTTTTCAAACATAACCTTCTTTACTTTTCCAAAAATTAAGTAAATTAAATACAGGCAGGCCTCATCACACTGTACTTTGTTAACTGAAACCAAAAAGGATGAAAAACAAGAAACAAATCCAACATGAATGCATTTCAGTTAACATAGCACTGTGCAAAGCATGGACTGCCCATGATAATACTGTATGAGTATTTCATGGAATATGAAAAGCTGGAGCTTCTTGGGATGCCTAACATGTAACTGAAACAACTATTTTTAAAACCTCAAAGCAATAAAAAAAAACACTTCTAAATAAAGCAGTAAGTTTAACAAAAGTTTTACTTATCTCTTTCTACACACCTATTCCTGTTAGTTTTGTGAGATATCAAAAGCAGAGAAGGGAATTGGCCAGTGTGGGATTAACAATATTTCTGAATTTAAATACCTGAGCTCCAAAAGTGCACAATGACTGAGGAATAATTTGGTGCAGTCATATTATTTTCTGAATGCATTTCTGTGATTTTTCTGTGTATCAAATGACCAAGAAATGGAAGGTACATACTTGCACAATTGTAATTCATTTATGTAAAACAGTCGTATTCATCAAAAGTGACCCAGCAGACTCAGTCATTCACAGTGCAGTGGGTCACTAGAGATAGGAGAATATCTTATCTAACACAGAGGCCAAAGAAACACTCGTTTGGAAATGTCCCAACTTAAAGAAAAGTCATTTTTTAAAAACCACAAGATTACCTATCTAAACTGGTTTAAACTAGTTTTACTTACTTTGTGCCTCTTGCAAGAAGCAGCAGGTACTACTTTCTCCAAATACACACAGAAAAGGGTTGGGGACAGTAATCAATCTTGCCAGTTCAGTAGAATAAGTCATTTAGCTACCCTCTATATTACCAAAATGTTATACTTACTTTCCTTTCAGGTTTCTGAATTTCTGGTAGAACTGCACAGAAAGGTTTGATAACTTCTAAAAATTTGACTGTTAAAAAAAAAAAGAAGAAGAATGTCTCTGTTAACAAAGCTTTTAAAAAGAGATGTACCTTTTTATAGAAACAAATACAAACGTTCTCTAACTTTTAATGACAATTCATCCCATTCGTACCTCCAAAAGTAATCACAGTGCTCTCCATTTCAAATATATCGGGGAAGAGAAATAATCAAAGGACAAAAGAATCCAAAAGGTTTAAGGGTTTAGTCAGTAGAGCAAATACAAACACCCTTCTACCATGATTTTGCTTCCTCATGCTTATATCCAGCCCTTTTATATATACAGAAAAAGAATAATTCCATGAGCATCACTACATCAAAAAAAAAGCAAATGCAGTCTACTACGTTACCCACACGACAATGCACTGTAGCCGAAAATAAGACGTTATCAGGGGAGAAATACAGGAGGACAGTACAATAGGAAATGGGCTGAAATTGCAGGACTTAATTTAGACTGAAAGATGATGAAATGCAGAAGTGAGAAAGATCATGGAATCACAGAGTGCTCTTTTTTTTTTTTTTAAAGGTATACAATCTCTAATTCATTTCACTTAAGTCAACATTCATTGCTTGGTTGCTCTCCCACATAATGATCTTTAAAGTACTTGTGTATGTAGGATAATCAGCCCAGAAAATGACCAGGACATTTCAAGAGAAAGTACTGCTTTCCCAGATAACTCATTATATATCAAAGGAAGACAAACCAAGGTTCTTTAAGGATAGACACTATATTCTGGCACAGCTTCAGTCAATTCCTGCCAAAGAACTGGAGAATGAAGATGATATTCTCTGTCTTTGCCAGCGTCTGTAATGTGCAGAAACACAAGAAGGCTGGTTCAACCAGCTAGCTATTAGTTATGATCACCTTCCCCTACAGAGGCTGGATTCTGCATCCTAACATCATGACACTGTTTTAAAACTGACCTGAGTAATTACGCTTACATAGTTAGCCAAAAGCTGACTATATAATCTTCTCATGAAACCTCTCAAAATGATGGCAGTCACCGATGTCTGACAGAAGAATTCAGAAATTCCCATAGGCAGATACTCATTGCCCAAGTGCCATTTTGGACTATTTGGAAAGTAAACCTGAATTACAGAAGCACTCTTCTCTAATGCAACACAAATTATCAACCACGTCAGTAAACTTCCTAGACTCCTTCCCCTTTTCCATCCCACCTCAATCTAAACCACCCTCCCAGATTTCTTGGCATTTTAGGATCATCGGTGTTGGAGAGTTCATGCGTCTGTCGCCCACTTGTCTATTCTTGTGTTGCAGAATGTCACCGATTATACTGTGTAAATTCAAGGTCAGGGGTCTCCTCTACTTCCTTTCTAAATGTCCATTAGTTGGCCAAAGGGTGTACCGCTCAGGTCTGCACTTAACCATGCACCCAACAAACATCTGAACAGCTATGTAAGTATATACGGGAATGCATGTGGAGTTGAGTATTCAGGAGATGGCCCTCAAAGATCGCCATAATTCAAGGCCTGGTCCCTAAGGCTTATACAACCTTACACACAGTGAGTTTTCAGTCAACGCTACAAAATAACTGTTAGGGAAAACGCTATGCTGCCAATCGCACTTCTTTCCTCCCCTGAAATACATGCTTTGCATCACTTTTTAAAAAATCGAAATAAGTCAGAGAGCGTTTTTCATCACAACTAACATGCCAAAGAAGGGTGATTTGGGAATAAAAATATGAGCTTCCTAAGCTCCTGAAAAATTCGAAGCGGTCCAGGTTTCGCTCGGTTCCCTAACTCCCCGCCCCCAAAACCAATGGCTTCCCCTCGCCGTCCTCCGCTCCTCGCCACCTAGCGAGCGCAAACCCCGGGCCTCCGGGCCTCCGGGCCTCCGGGCCCGGGTCCCCGCAGCCAGCCCCGGCAAGGCCGCACGGCCGAAGGAGCCTCGGCGGAGGCCCCCGGCCCGCGCCCTCCGCAGCGGCCCGATCTCCGGCTCCCGGCCTGGGCGACCCCGGGGCGGACGCCCGTCCGACCCCGCCCCACCGCCCGCAGCCGGTCGGGGCCCGGAGCCCAGCGAGAGCCGCGCCGCCGCTACTCACTGCCCATGGCGGCGGCTGGGGCGGCCCGGCGGGGCACCGCGGCCTCGGCGCTGCCTTCGCTCGGGTCCCACCGCTCGGGTCTCGCCGCCTGCTCCCGACTCGCTCCAGGCTGGCCCCGCGCAGGCTCCGCCCCGAGCCACGTGACCCGCGCGCCCGCCCCGCCCGGTCCCGCCCCCCAACGAGGGCCCGGCCGTTGGCAACCGGCGCGGCGGACGTCGGCGCGTTGCCATGGTCACCGCCGGCTCTCCTGTGGGCGTGCTCCAGCTCGGCGGCGGAGTCCAGAAGCCTCCGCGGGATCGCCGCGGCCGGGCCCTTTCGTGCTTGAGCTCGTCTCCGAGCTCACCGTCAAGCAATGCCCGTTTCCTCGGCCTCCTGGTCCGACCCAGGCCTCCCCGGCCAGGACCCGGCCAAAGCGGCTGCCCGAGGGTCGCGGGCCAGGGTTGCGTCCCTGAGTGTGACCCTAGCAGCCCTTTAATTTTGCTCCCGCCTTATCGGAACTTCATGGAAGTTGTCAGAAATGTGTGACACTCTGTCTACAGTTAATAGCTTATGAACTCCGCACTCCCTCTTACGTGTGCTCCTTCTTCAGCTTCTCCGATAGACGGAGATCAGCATTTTGTCCCCCGTTATTCCTTCTTGAACAGCGTGGCATAAGGGAGAGCAGTCTTAGAAATCAGCCTACATTTTAATCCCTCCTCTCCTTCTTAATGGCTTTGGGCAATTAACCTTTCTGAGCTACATCAGTAAGATAAGGGTATTAGCCACGTCCTACAGGTGTGAAAATGAAAAGGACGAGATTGACACACAGAAGGCCCTCAAATGTATTCTCCTAACTCAATTTTAAACCCCTGCAAGGTAACTTCTGCCCTAACTTTTAATGAAGCAAGTTATTTCAAGGTCACTAATGACCCATAATCACCAAATCCAATGATCTGTTCTAATGCTTCCATCTGTGTCCAAAAAGGAAACCAGTGATTCGTGTGTGTGCGCGCGTGTGTGTGTGAACGGGAGGGAGGGAGAAAGGTTGATTTTCTCCTTGACCAAACTCCAGCCAGGCTCCTGTGGGCCCTTTCTTCACTAAGCCTTACCCTGGCCTATAAAGACTTAAACATAGATTCTAACAGATCCATCCCTAAGGTGGTCGGGGCCCTAGCCCTGCCTTAAAGAATCTGCCTGCGAAAACTCAAAACTGCCAAAAGAATTTACCATTTATTCCAACGCCTGAAGATAGGGTTTCTGTCTTCCAGCCTCTGTGGAGGGTAGGAGCCTAACTTCCATAAGCTCCAATTAACAAGCCCAGATGGGTGTTACACGAACCAATCCCTCCTCCTTCCAGCTTTTTGTCATTTTTCACTTCCTGACTCTGAGCCTGACCCACCCTGTTCTGAATCATTCTCCCTTTAAAACTCCAGTCCCCTCCGTATAAATCAGAGTTGAGTTCAGTTCATGTGGAACTCTCTTTTCTACTGCAATAGCATACTGCTGATTAACATTTGTCCTGACTACTTTACCCGGTGTGGGGCATTATCTTTGCACACACACACAGTAAGCGTAGGCTGGGCAGGCACAGACCTCTGCTCCACTTGGGGTCATCTAGGACAGCTCCAAGACTGGGGGCTTGAATGAGCAGAAGGCTCTCCCACTCACAAGTCCAGCATTTGCAGCTGGCTGTCAGCTTCAACATCTCCACGGGGCTTCTTCATGTTGCTTGGGCTTCCTCAAAACATGGCCACTGGGTGCCAAGGGATGTCCTTGTTAGTGATCCAGCATCACTTTTAGTGCATTGTACTGATAGAGGCAGCCACAAAATCCTGCTCAATCTCAAGAGAGAAGGAAAACAGACTCTACCTCTAGGTGAAGCTGTGGCAAGGTTCTGGAGCAAAATACTGCTTTTTGGGAAAACACAATTTGCCAGGTTAATAACCTCCCATCCTATGACTTCATTCTCACCTCACTCTACTTTGTATTGTCATTTTTACACCTGTCTAAGCCCCCTTATCCATAAACTTCTAAATGGCAAAAACCTAATTTTTGTATCTCAATTTTGTCATCTATGGTGACTTGCAAATGGTTGGCTTACACACAGTTTTGGCCCTAGGCTGTCAGCTAGTTTCATGAATATAATATCCTTTCAATAAAGATGCAATAAATTGAAAGCCTAATTGACAGAAGAGTTGCCTCCATTTCTCTTCCTATTTCTGGGACAGCTCCATGTTTCAGGTAAAAGAGCCTGAGAATAAGCTCTGACACATTAGATAACTGCTGTGAATTATCCTTCCAACATTCTTCAGTCTTTCTACTACTACATGCTACCCAGGACTTGTCCGTGTGTGACTACAAAATGCCAATTAATCTACATCTATCAGGAATATCACTCTACCTTGACCTCCCACAGTGTTTTAGCACAGCCAACAAGAACGTTTCTCTCTATGTGTAAAATGCTTTGTCATCTCAAATAGATTGTTAGTCCATTGAGGACAAAGGGCATTTTCTGGTTTACTCCCATGTATTTCTAATGTCCAGAACAATGCCATATGTGCAGTAAGTGTCCAATAAACTACTGGGGAGATACCATCCTACTCTTACAGGGTCATTTCTCACTTTTATTCAATTATAGTTGATTCTGCATATGAATCAGCGAAGAACAGGGAAACAACACTAAAGTAACATACTTTTATTAAAAGTTTTCTAAGATCGGGAAGCCTGGGTGGCTCAGCCAGTGAAGCGTCTGCCTTTGGTTCAGGTCATGATGCCAACGTCCTGGAACCAAGTCCCACATGGGGCTCCCTGCTCAGCAGGGAGTCTGCTTGTCCCTCTGCCTGACGCTCTGCCTACTTGTGCACTTGCTCGCTCACTCTCTCTCTCTCTCTCTCTCTGTCAAATAAATAAATAAAATCTTTAACAAAAAGAAAAAAAGTTTTCTAAGATTAACTGATTTTGCAAACAGCAATGGGGAAGTAACAGTCTGCTTTAGACTGTGTAGTCAGATTTAAATACAAACATGACAATGAGTTACTACTCCCACTGAGTAATTTAGTTGTTTGTATAACAGTAGGTTGTAAGTATTGAGGATTTAAAAACATTTTGTCCAGATTTCCCCCAAATACGATGGCTTTAGCCTGAAACTTAGGAGAAGCTGAAGATGAAAAGCAAATATCCAAATACATCCAAGGGAAATGGAGGTGAAGCTTTTGGAACCTCAAGATCCAAAAGTCTTGATTCTTATCTGTGACTTCCTTCCTGTGGAACCTCTAATTTCTTTAAACTGCATTTCCTCAATTTTGTAAAATAGATACTATTTCAATTGTCAGTCAAGGAATTTTTTAAAGAAATAAAACTTCAGAGGTAATATAGTCAGGCTAAAAGAAGTTATGCTTTAGAATATTTTCTAAATCACATGCATATAGAAAACTGAGCAAAATGGTTCTTAAGGAAGAAAATTTTATTTTACTAAGAACATGTCATTTTAGACAAAATCAACATTTTTTTCATGGTTGTTAATACTTCAATGAATACTCAATTTGAGCTCTATTCTTCATTGAGTATGAAACTAGCATAGATAGATATAAACAGGATACAAATATCACATTATCAAATTTCTCAGAGGAATAAAGTATTTTTATTTTACTTTGCTATGATATTTTTATCCTCTACTTTATTACGGGAGTATTTGATTTGGTCCCTTCCTGCAAAGTAATTCAAAATGCTGACCCATGTTGCAATAGTGATTGAGAGTAAGAAGGTTAAGATACAGAAGACACATTTTTTTTTTTTTAGAAGACACATTTCATGGCTCATGGTGGAGAATATTTAAGATACCAGAGATACTCGAGAAATCTAAACTTTAAAAAAAAAAAAAACCAACACTAGTTTTCCAGCTCATTTTGTGCTTAGACTTTTGAATCAAGAAACCAAGAGAGCTGAAAAAAATTACAGGGCTTTCCTGTTTTTCTAATTCAGTATACAACATTGATAACCGTTTTCATTAAATAGACCTTTGTAATTGTACCGACTTACTTGCATGGCCCCAAGTTACTTGACTTATAAGGCTTGACACAGGAAGGAAGCATTAAGGTGCATAGGAATAAAAGGGCTGTGAATATTACAGAAATATTAAATCAATACACTAATGCATACAGTTAAGATGTGAATCACGAATCTACTCCTGTGGCCTGAACAACCTACATGTTGATTTTGAAAGATGTCACCAGTTGCCAGGAAAAGTGGAGAAGCCGTTCCAGTGCTCCGCCACTTCCCCATTATTTCTGAGAAAAACTGTCGTGGCACCAGAATGGTAGATGGCCGAGCCTCTGCAGCACCAAGTCACGTAAAGCTACATACACAACTTGCTGCTGTTTAGTTATATTTCCATGAAGTTTCAGAAGTAATGCAGTGGGTTGATGATCTCCATAAACCCCCAAGAACCCGGTGCTGGGAAGTTTCCAGTGTCAAAGTTAAAATGCTCCTTAAACACCATGAATGAACAACATCACTTCATCACACCTTTTAGCCGTAAGACGGACTAACCAGGAGCTGAAATCCCCATGTCAGATACCGAAGGTCAATTAAAAATATTAAGATATCACTGCAATAACAATTTAGGGGGAAAAAAAGATACTATGACAAAGTAGACCACAAATCAATTTCACCGTAGCTAAAACTCCTTAATAATACTGTGCCAAATCTGTAATGGGGTGGATATTTAAGGACAATGGGTGAAAACAACTCCCTTGAAGAACATGCATCAGGACTAGTATAGTTTGCTACAGCGTTTGCTGAAACATTTTCCACAGCGGCTGGGAAGCAGCACCTGAGATCACATAAAATGAAAATATTGATAGTCACAGGACTTTGAATAAGGAATTGCAAAATTAATGAAAATGACATGCATCAAGCAAACTGAGAAGTAATGCCGAGGTGATCTGTATGTAAGTTCTGTAAATTCAAACTAAAGAATCTTTCCTGGGCATATACAGTTAATGAGAAAACACAGTCTGATGAAGTCTGGATAAGGCACTAGCTCTCCAACTCACTCAGATCTAAGCAAAACATAACGCTGTTGTACCTTTAAGGATAAAGGTGACTCGTCAGATTCATGGATTGATGGATAATTCCCTTGGCTATTCTGTGTATTCCAATTAAACTGTCCTCATCAATCCCAACGTCTTAGAGGAACACAGATTTTCATGTCACCTAACGGAAAAAGAGAGTAGAGGAGCCGGCTTTTCTTTCCATGGTTGTTTTCGTAAAAGGAAGTAATGCTGGTTCAAAGGACACCATCAAGCAAAGGTCTTGGTGAGGACGTCTTCATGCTGCTGCAGATGAAGGGTACCAATTCCTACAGCGGGGGCTGAGAGAGGGGGTCGGCTCACAAGACGGAGCTATGATTAGAGCAGAAAAGAAATAAAATGACCTTTTGACCTGATCAGAGCCCTGCTTTATTCTCCCGAGGCAGTGTATGCATTTCTCTTAGCTTGTTTAACCACAAATCACCTTTCTGGAAAAATAACGGGTTACCTAGAATAGACCGGAAGGAGATATTTGTCACAACTAAAAACTCAATTCCAGGCACCATAAGGGGAGATCAATGCTTGAATTTGTCCTATTCTTCAGTAACTATTAGCTGATTTCAGCAATAGAGTTTCCTAAAGTAAAACAAATTAAAATGATCTGACCCAGCAAACTAGTAACAAATGTGTGAACTGACTTCTAATCCAAGCAGAATAGGAAGATAAACAGAAGCCCATTTGCTCTTCTCATTGTTCTTCCCTCCCGACAGTCTAACCAAGAATGTGGCCTTTGATGGACTATGTGCATGAGCTATGCGCATGAGCCTCAAAGAAGCGTTAGCGGGCACCTCTTCTCCCATATTGTAAAACAAGCCTGCTCGGCACCCTGGCTCCCCAGGGCTTGGATTGTGACCTTTAGGACAAGGCTAGTGAGAAAGGTAGCTGACAGGTAAGGGCTTTTAGTTTAAGTATAATCACTTTTTCTTATATGATACTAGCACATACACATATGTATCTTGATAAACATTCATCAGCATTTTATTCCGAAAAAATAGCCTAAGTTAGATTTTATAGTTTAGTTTATCTTTAAAAGAACTGGACCGGCAGGCAGCCGGTGAACCGCGGAGAGGCTCGTCACTGGGGCGAGTGAGGAACCATGATCCTCGTGGGCCACCATCCTGGAAGTGGCCCTTAGAGGAAGAAAGTGCTGGGTTCCTGGGGAGGAATGCTTCTCGGCATTCTAGACGGTATCCAACTGTTGAAAAATGAGCCAAAGTCTTCAATGGAACAAGTTATGTGCCTATTCCTGAAGATGGTCCCTTTCTTAAAGCACTGCTTTTTGAACTTAGATTATTGGATGATGATAAGACTTCATCGAAAGTCATGATAGCTGTTCACACATCAATAAAACATCTGTCTATGAACTCCTAGTAGGAGGTGGAGAACTCTGGCCAGTTGTTGCTTTTCTGAAGAATAACAGGATATATGCTTGTGTTCCACTAGTTGAACAAACTTTATCCCCTTGTCCACCATTAATCAGCATTCATGGAATTTCACAGAGCTTTGAACTTCTTTTTGGGATACAGGATTTTCTTCACTTGGGTCAAAAAAATGACCCTGAGTTAAACACAAAATTGAACCAGCTGCCTGATTTGCTTCTACAAGCTTGTCCATTTGGAACTTTGTTAGATGCCAACTTACAGAATTCACTGAATAGTATTAATTTTGCTTCTGTGACACAGCCACAAAAACAGCCAGCCTGGAAAGTTGGAACATACAAAGGAAAACCACAAGTTTCTATTTCTATCACTGAAAAGGTAAAATCCATGCAATATGATAAACAGGATATAGCAGATACATGGCAGGTTGTTGGAGCTGTCACTTGCAAGTGTGATTTAGAAGGAATCATGCCAAATGTTACCATCAGCTTGAGTCTCCCCACCAGTGGGTCTCCACTTCAGGATATTCTAGTTCATCCTTGTGTGACTTCTCTTGACTCTGCTATTCTGACTTCTAGTAGCATTGATGCAGTGGATGATTCTGCATTTAGTGGACCTTACAAATTTCCATTCACTTCTCCTTTAGAGTCATTCAACTTATGCTACTATACTTCGCAGGTCCCAGTCCTACCAATTTTGGGTTTTTATCAAACGAAAGAGGAAGAAATACAAGTAAAAATAACACTTAATTTAAAATTTCATGAAAGTGTGAAAAATAATTTTGAATTCTGTGAAGTTCGTATACCTTTTTATAATAGAGGTCCAATCACACATGTGGAATACAAAGGTAGTTTTGGCCAGCTTGCAGTATCTCGAGAGAAAAGCTTATTGATCTGGATTATTGGACAGAAGTTCCCCAAATCAATGGAAATTAGTCTTTCTGGAACTGTCACTTTTGGAGCCAAGAGTCATGAGAAGCAGCCATTTGATGAGATTTGCATTGGAGGTACAGCATATTTAAAGCTTCACTTTAAGATCTCAGATTATACACTCACTGGTTGTTATGCGAATCAGCATTCAGTTCAAGTTTTTGCATCAGGAAAACCAAAAATAAGTACACACCGGGAACTAATTTCTTCTGACTATTACAACTGGAATTCTAAAGCTCCTGCACCAATAACATATGGATCATTATTACTGTAATTATCTCATACTTAAATAGGATTTATATAATGGTAACATAGCTTAAATTAAATCATTAGTCTTTTATTTTTAATGTGTGCATATAACCTATGAATGAAAAAAAGTCATTGATTAATTATAAAAATGCTCTTGTTTAATGTTTTTAGCCTGACATAGTTTGAAAGAACATTTTAAAGACTAATATTTCCTATTTTGTTACCCTTTGATTTTACTCAAATATGATTCAGAGCAGAAAGGAGTAGTGATTCACTTTAGGCTTATTTTAAACTAGTCCTGGGTCACCCTACCATATATACTTTCCAGCTCCCGTGGCAGACATGGCTAATCAGCTGTAGCCTTCTTTCTCCACTGAGCCTTCCTGGATATGGGCTCAGCCTCCTTCTCATAGCAGAGCTGCAAACAGCCACTCCTGATGGATTGTAGATAAAAAGATGGATGTGCAAGATAAAAAACTCTTTGCTCTTTCAAACCTGCGTAGTAAGCTCCTGGTACAATGTATTGTTATAGAATTTATAGATTTGCCACTGTAAATCTCTTGTGAAAAAAAAAAAGAAAAAACAACCAGTCGATGAAAACAAAGGAATGTTGTTTAGATAGTAACCTGTTGTTAATCAGAACTATATTATTGACTTATAAAGAATCTGAATAATTCTAAAAAAAAAAAAAGAATTGGACCGCTAGTAGGGGAGAAACCCATTTATTGGCATGCCAGGAGAAATAATACACATTCACAAAACACTATAAGAGAGAAAGCTATTACCTTGCAGGCCAGTTGCTTTTCAAACCTTGGAGAAACAAAGCACCATGGACCCATGTTCTGAGGCTCCTCCTGACTCCAAATAAAATCTATAGCAGAAGAAAGTTCATTTCAGTACTCCAGGTAAACCTACAGTACACACACACCATATATATACAGTATATATGTGCATACATAGACACATTATAACCATACATATACACATATGTACATAGTGTATACGTATGTATAGGTCTCTTCAAGTAAATATATGACTTTCCAATATGACATGGTGTTGCCTTTTTTTTGACAAATGATAGTCATGTATCCAGCACCTCATTCATGATACAGAACAATTCTATCGACCCCCCAAAATTCCCTGGTCCTGGCCCTTTCAAGGCAACTCCTCCTCCAGCCCCAACCTCTGGCAACCACTGATGTTTTCTCTCTCCCTACAGTTTTGCCTTTTCCAGAATGTCAGATAAATGGAATTATATGATATGGAGCCTTTGGTTCTGGCTCCCTTGAACTAGCAAAACCCCAAAGGGGGTCCCAAAGCCATAGTTCACTCTTCTTTTATTGTTGAGTAGTATGCTATTGTAAGGATGTACCTTACATCCTTGTTTATTCATCCACAGGTTGAAGGACGTCCTGGTGGATTCCAGTTTGGCGCAATTATGAATGAAGCTGCTGTAGACATTTTTCTGTGAACATGTCATTTCTCTTGGGTAAATACCTCGGAGTAGACGGGCAACTCTCTGTTGGAACTGACAGACTGTTTTCCAGAGTGGCTGTACCACTTTCCGTTTCCTCTCACAATGAAGGAGGCCTCCAACTGCTCTGCGTCCTCATCAGCTCTTGCTATCGCCAACTTATTGTTTTGTTTTCATTTTAGCCATTCTAATAGGTGTGTAGCCATACCTCATTTTGGTTTCAATTGCATTTCCCTTATCACTACGGGATAAGATGTTGAGCATCTTTTCATGTAGTTATTTGTCATCCCATTCTTTGGCTCAAATCTTTTGCCTAACCAAAGGTCATGAAGATTTTCTCCTTTTTCTCCTAGACGTTTTAGAGTTTTATGTTTTACATTTAGGTCTGTGATCTTGAGTTAATGTCTGTACCCAGGGCAGTCTGTACCCACATGTTGAAAAGGCTTGCCTTTTACAGTTACATCGATTTATCCTAAGCAATAGTTAAGCACTGGTTACCTCCAACCTTTCAATGACATGTCTTAAAGTGAGAGAAGGTGGCGGCACTAAAAGCGACACCAGAAAAGACAAGGAAACATTGGCTCTAGCATGATTTTTTTTTTCTTATTTCCAGATTCCAAAAGATTCAATCTCCTAAGGACTCTCACTGCCCCTGGAACCTCTTTTGATATGAGACACTGGAATAGGTTTCAGGTATCTAAAACCCAAAGAACCCCACCAAGAATAACGCTGTACCTTTAACATGTTTGTATCTGCTCATCTCTTGCTGTAACAAATCCAGTGGGAAAGGACAGAGTTCCTCTAAACGGATGATGGCAAAGTCATGCTTCTTGGCCTCCAAGGATTCTCTTTGCTTCAGCAGGGCGTAGAAATGTTTGCCGCAGCAGAACACTAGACTCTTGACCCTGTTGGGTAGAATGGAGTGGAGGAGAAATAGCTGAAAGAATTGTATCCAAAGAAAGAGGAGACTATGTAGATGAAAATGCTTCATTATGGAAGCGGTGGGGGGCTCTGCAGTTGGGTTCATTGACATGCTTTGCCCTGGCAAGCCTTCTTCAGCAACACATGCCTCCAAAGCCCAATCTTCCATGCATACTCTAACTTCTGCCCCATGGATGCAAAGGACTTCTATCAGGATAGAGGAGATGTGGGTCACTTTGGGTTCCTTAACATGAACTAGGTTTCCCACTAATTAAAATTCTACTGCAGAGTAAGAAAACAAAGATACACATCAAGTTACTTTTTGGGATCCACAGATGAATCGCCAATGACCGGCTTGAATGTTGTTCCTGGTGCCATTTCTTGAAGAGTTGACACAGCTGCCTAAGGAGGGGAAAAAGCCACAAATCTATCAACCAAAGAAAGGAGCTGAAGATGCCTTTACTTTTAAGGGATCTTTACCAAGAAATAACATCAAACTTTCCTCCTAGGACCATAAGTAAACATATGTACTGATAAACACAGTATCTTTCAAAAAAAATACCAATTGTGTATATTTCGGAATAAAATGATTTTTTCAAGATTACATAAGACTGCCTTTTGTCTGATGCTGCAACAAAACTTTAAGAATCAAAATTTCAGTTTGATCCCACTTTAGTCTCAATAAAAATATGCTTTCATTTGTTGGAGTCAGAAATGACATTTGTGAACAAAAACAGCTAAACTAGGACAAGGATTTCTGTCTTGAGGATTTTGACTATAATTTATAAGTGAAACCTAATGAGTCAGAACAAGCAGGAACAATACATGAATATTTCTGTGATGAAAAGAAATTTTATGCATGAGCTCGGTTTAAGTAAGTGCTTGTCACAAAGAACTTAGCATAGACAACTCGAATTCATTTCCCTATAGTCTAGTCCCAAATGGGAATACATTTTGACTGGTCCACTGATAGGTAGCCATGCTGATGTGTGATGCTGTGATATAACTTAAAAAATTAATATCAGGGGCACCTGGGTGGCTTAGTCATTAAGCGTCTGCCTTCGGCTCAGGTCAAGATCCCAGGGTCCTGGGATCGAGCCCCACATCGGGCTCCCTGCTCAGCGGGAAGCCTGCCTCTCCCTCTCCCGCTCCCCCTGCTTGTGTTCCCTCTCTCGCTGTGTCTCTCTCTGTCAAATAAATAAATAAAATCTTTTTAAAAAAAATGTTAACTAAAAGAATGAAATGAAAATATGTACTTTATATATTATCTATTGTATAGATAATATATATTATCTATTATATATGATATATATTTTATTATGTATCATATATATTTATTTTATTCTTATTTTTTATTTATTCTTATTGCCAAATAATGTATGATAGAAGCCATCTTTCTCCATCCTGAACCCTTGGGCAGCTCCCACTTCCTAGGGTAGGAATCAGAAGGAGCTGAGGGGCGCCTGGCTGGCTCAGTCAGTGCAGCAAGTGACTCTTGATCTTAGGGCCATGAGTTCAAGTCCCACATGGGGGCGTAGAGCTTACTAAGAAGAAAAAAGGAAAAAAGGGAATTGGAGTTCAGAGCTGGGTGGGAAATTTGGGCAGAATTTAGGTACCACTTGTCAGGCAAACTCCTGAGTCATGTTTGTCACACGGCAAGTCATCTCTGAATATGCCACGGAAAGAGAGGGTGGGCTTCTGTTCTGCTAGATCACTTGTACCAATAATTTAATTTTCAGTAAGAAATCAGACTTCAATAATGGTGGTATTCACAGTTAATAAAAGGAGTTACATGTTTAATGAAGACAGTTAACTACTTAATAAGAGTAGTTTTTCGCTTGAAAATCTATAGGATAGCTGTTGATATTTTTGGCGGGAGACAGAATGAGAGGGAGAATCTTAAGCTCCATGCTCAGTGCAGAGCCTAATGGGGGGCTTCATCTCACGACCCTGAGATCATGACCTGAGCCAAAATCAAGAGTCGGACACTTACCCATCAGAGCCACCCAGGTGCCCCTTAGCTGTTGATATTTTTAAGGTTCCAAAGCAAGGCCTCACTTATTTGGTATTTTGTATATATTAGACATGGGGAGAGGAGTGGACTATTGGGGCCAGAATGTGAACTCTTATTCTCCTTAGAAACAGCAAAAAAATTCTCCATAAAATTTCGAATTGTTCACTCAGTACTTAGTTTTATATATATATATATATTACATTTAATATGATTATACTCCTTTATAGTAACGATTGAGGGAGCAGGTGACACCCTTAGGGGTACAACGAAAATTGGGTCAAGAATCCCAAACGTACATATGTCTTAGAAATAAATGATAGTAATTTGCATTACGACTTAGCCCCTTTCACACTGCAGTTTCAAAATATCTCTGTCAAAAGAGCCCCATCAGAAAGACTGTGTTAAAGGGATTGCATTAATTTTTCCTGAATGTCCTGTGATGCTGCTGGACCCCCGAGGCCATCTCAAAATGTGCAAGGTGGGTCCGAGGAACAGTCGGTGGAGCAAGTGAGAGAATGAGGAGATCAAACCCATGAACCCTGCCATGGGTGAGAGAATGGGCAGTGCCTTGCCCCAGTGCGGACTCCCAGGGTCGGCAGCACGGAGAGGCAGTGGAGAAGCACGGACAGCA